TCCTCTACCACAAACAGCCTCCGTTTCGGCATAAATGCATTTGAAGAAGCAAAAAAGCCTCTGAACTTCAGTGAAAAGAAAAATCTTAATCAAATCCCATTATGACACAAGATTGAGGCAGAGAAACTTATTTTAAACAGTACCATAGCTCCAAATAAATTTTCTGCCCTCAATCCAACGCTGCAGCTAGGACCGAAATATACCCCAAAGGAAAACGTTTCAGCACAGACACGCAGCTTTGAACTGCACTGAGTACAAGGGCTCTCCGAGGCAGTCTCAAAGATCTTGTGCCATTAGAGAAATACTTTGATAAGCAAACCTATGTGATTAGTTCTAGTTATCATCTGAGGCCTGATGCTGAAGACAGATTAGCTGCTCATATTTGCTGAGGCAAAATATTAACTGAAGAAGAAAATACAGACTTCACACATACTAGGGAGTATTTCCAATTTGTAAAACTCATTAAATTCACTCTTTGCACACTACTGAGAGAGATGCTGAATAACCCATGTCCCCGAGTGCCTCATCCACACGGCTCTGAAACCCCTCCCGGGATGGTGACTCCCCCCTCCCTGGGCAGCCCCTTCAAACCCTGACAGCCCTTTCCAGGAAGGAATTTCCATATTATCCAATCTAAACCTGCCCTGGGGCACAACCTGAAGCTGGATCCTATTGTCCTGCCTATTAACATTCAGATGTTAGGGTCTCAAAAATTCAGCTATCGGGTTCTTAGCACAAAACCAGACCCAACATCAGTCATATACTGCAGAATGATGTGAAGATAAATAAAAGGTGCCACCTAATATCTATTGTTAATAGTATATTTTCAAGAATAATAACAAAATCAGGAGTTAACATTGCATGGAAACATAAAATACAGAACAATAACATATAAAAATACAAGAAGGCATTGTTGGGGCCTACAAGGAAGCTGGAGGGGACTTTTTCCAAGGTCCTGTAGTGACAGGACAAGGGGTAACGGGTTTAAACTGAAAGTGGGGAGGGTTAGATTAGATATCAGGAAGGAATTCTTCCCGGAGAGGGTGAGGAGGCACTGGGACAGGTTGCCCAGAGAAGCTGTGCATGCCCCATCCCTGGAAGTGTCCAAGGCCAGGCTGGATGAGGCTTGGAGCACCCTGGGCTATGGAAGGTGTCCCTGCCCATGGCAGGGGGGTTGGAACTAGATGATCTTTAAGGCCCCTTCCAACCCAAACCATTCTATGATTCATTCTATGCTCATCCTAACAGCAAAGTTTGGATATTCATGCACAAAGCTCACTTATTTCCAAGACTTCCTACCAATGGATAAGTATATTATTACTGTTCTGCAGCTTTCTTTGAGAGTAGAACAAAACCTGCCCTACTGAAGTGTGCTGGGTGGACTTCTGACCTGTCCCACCACTGCCCACCGGCTTCCAGGCCATGGAGAAGTTGAGTGTGAGACCCCAGGCGAAACAGAAACATCTCTCTCAAGTGGACCACCTAACAGGAGAAATGTCAGAGAAGACTCTGCTTTTTTTTTTGGCTCAGACTGCTAATGGAAAATAGGAAACCAACCAGGCAGCATCAGACACTGGCACGTGCCCAAAGTGGCGAAGAGAGAATTCAGATGTAAGGGAAATTTATCTCACTGGTAATGCTTCAGCCTCAGAAGTGCACTCACGTTACGGAAAAACCCAATGAATTGCCAAAGCCAGATGGCATGTAAATATTTAAACAACAAAATAGCTTAAAATAATCTTTCTGCTAAACACAGATGGAACTATTATTTACATTTACTTAAGAAATTTTCTGTGTGAATATTACTGTGACTTCAAGTAAAGGGAAGTGTTATATATCACCTAGAGCATAAACACAGCTCCCCAGATGATTCTTGTTGATACAATGTGGACAAATATACCAAGATTTTAAAAGGCTAATAATAACTCATTATGCTGATCAGCTGTAAACAAAGGGAAACACGTGAGATGTGCACGTGGAAGATTCAGAATCCCCCCAGGACACACACCCTAAGAAACAGACAGTGGGGAGAAGGTACCAAAAGGTACCAGTATCAGCACATCTATGGCAGGCCTTAGATTTCTGATTAACCTGCTCGCTTAATCGAGCGGAAATAAGTACTCTGGTTAATTAGGGGGAAGCAGAGTGAGGCAGCTGCCCTGCAGCACATATATCACGGAGCTAATCACAGCTCTACGAGAGAGCAGGTACGTCGCTCCCGCAGCGCATGTGAAGCCCCCGTGTGGGAGGCAAAACCTTGAAAAATTAATTCAGTTCCCTTGAAGAAGAGAACCAAATTATCGCATCCGCTTCCAAAGGTAAGAGATGGACAAGGTTATCAGATGACGTGCTATAATAAGGAGTTATTGAGGCTTCTTCTGAGGGTATTATGACATTTGAAGTTTAAACCTAGCTCTCCCACGGGTTTCTCTTGCCTACTGAGTTGTAGCCAGTTAATATAAACATCTCTAGCCAACAGCAGTGACAGAGTTACGAAAGAAGGGTCTCATAAGCAGAACTTAAGGGCTTTTTAAAATTAATTTGGGTTTTTACCTCCTCTTGGTCCAGCATTTGTTGCTTCAGTTTCTCAGCCAACTGGCTCTGCTGGTTGATTTCATCATCCTGCAATGAAATAGGGTTGGAGATTTTTAGTTTCTTTTCACAGTTCTTGTTTGCTCAATTTATTTCCCCTTTCTAGAAAAGAAGGAAGAATCCTACCACTTGAGTGGTATGAGAGGAGAGGAAAACGACAGAGCTACATAGTAAAAGCACCGCATCCATGCAGTTGTGTCTGGTACATACCCAAGCAGAGGTGTCCCCGATGGTAAACAGGACACTGATGTGGTCAGAGTTGCACCTTATGACTTCTGGGAGACTTTACCAAGACGTGTGGTGTTTTACACATGTACAAATACGTACACAAACTCTCTCTCTTACTCTGTCCCAGATTCCAGCTGAGAGAGATCATTAGAACCTCTATTTATTAACCAACTGCAATTTACAGCTAGCTCTGAAGGGCAATAACGCAAGAGGAAGCTCAAACCACAACACAGAACTTGGACTCACCAACTGCAGAATTTGCATTTTCCAACTCCACCCCAGCCCTTGAAGAAAATACTCCAGGTAATGCACAAAAACCCAATTTTACTGGCATTTCAACTCCCTTGTTAAGCCAGCATCCTCACCGTCAAGAACTGACGTTAAATACGGAAGGATAATTACGGTGGACTCCACTGGACGCATCCTTGCTCCAAGAGGCCACATGAAGCCCACCAAGCCCCTGACCAAGCCCACCGCTTCCTGTGATGGCTGTCCTTTAAAGCAAGTCGCCAAAGAGAAATGCTTCTTTTTACCCTATCAGAGTCAGCTCATATTTTGTGTTTCACTGACAACCACGCTCATAGATTGATTTCTGATGCCAAATATCAAGTAGACTATATCGAATCATTTGCCAATATTAAAATAGTCCCATGATACAACAGGAGAATGGTCCACATTGTAATGAGTTATAAATGGCGATATTTTGGGTTTGTTTCGGGGAATCAGTACCTTCTAATTTCCTGCAGCAGTGCACCAAAGTATGCTTCCCACGTTTTCTAGGGCAAAACTCAAACCTGCTGCCAGTTCCCTCAAGAATAATTCGATTTGTTACTTTTGATGAGGGAAAGTGAAAGGATGACTGACTTTCTTTTATTTTTCCTCCCTTAATCAATACGTAAAAGCTAGAGACTGCTGCTGGGAATGTATGCTCCATCACAGAAAAGCTGTGATTTCTTAAAGACCTTCACTGCTATTGTGAATTCCATCAGCGTACTGCCGCGTGCAACCGGACTGTGCCGCGAGACCTCACGCACATCAGAGTTAAGGCTTAAATACAATATCCACTCCCTCCCTCGGCATCCAGAAAGGGCCAGAATTTAATATGAACACACAAGCAAACCAGTGGGCTTTTTTCCTGGTATTTTCCAGCTAATTACAATTGCAAGTTAAAATCACAAACTTCTGCTAGGTAGCCTTTTAGGCTGTTCTCACCCATGGTCACTGATATTAGTATGCCCTTTCCTCCCCCCCGCCACTCCTTATCTTCATACAAGCCAAAGCTATTAATGGCAAGTGCTCAGTAAATGTATTGCTGATAGCTTTAAGTGTCAATTATGTATTTCAAGCTGTGCAAATAAATAAAGCGGCCACCTGCACTCCAGGCAGCACTCACAGCTAGAACAACATGAACAAGAGACCCAAGGGATGGTTATACATTTTGCATAAAATTCCAATACATAATAAATACATAAAAATGTTAAGAAACCATCTCCCTTTTTTCCTTTCTCCTGTGACTGCAGGATGACGTTACAGTTTGCTGAGGGATTTCACAGAAATCACTGAAGGAGGCCAACCTGGCTCCGACTTCATGGGGAATGCCCCCAAACGCTGTCTGCAGAGGGAACAGGGGCAGGTAGCTGACAGGACAGGACGAGATCTGGTTTTATGCAGTGAGAGTGTTTTGAACTTTGGGAAGTTTTCCAGTTCCCGGGGCTCAAGAAATACAGAGAGACACCCACACATTTTGACTTAGCTTTCTGTTTACAGCCAGTGAACAGAGGCACCGCAAATATTCACACCTTATCATCCAGCTGCCTGTAGAGACTGGCAATCTCCTCATCATATTTCTGCTTCTCCTCTGTCGAGATGCTGGCAACAACCGGTGTGATGTTGTCAATAATCGGGGTGTTATCACAAGGCTCCAGGTTCTTCTGGTCCTTTGCGCTGATCTGTTCGTCCTCAGGCACAGCTTCTCCTGCGGGGACACAACCCGTGGTCATTGCAATCCAAGAGAGAGGGTTGCCCAAGACCACGGACATCCCCGATGGGCCATCCCAGTTGCCAACAGGGACTCAGCAAAGCAAAGAAGGGATGTATCCGGCTACGCAAGGCAAGTTAACAGAAATGCAAATAAGGAGGACAAAACCCTGACTTTCAGCCTAAAGCCTGCTGGTAATTACATGTCTCTTCCTCTCAAAATCTCCGACTGCCTTATCAACTCTCCCTCCCTCATAATGAACTGCTGGAGCATCGGGACAACAAGCAAGCAGCTGCATTTAAAATTACATTCACCTTCTGCCTTGTCACGTCTAAAATGAAAGCGCCTACACCAATTTGCACGTGTTGCCTATCGACAGCAGACAGGATGTTCTCCCTGCACATTTTCTTTCAAAATCATTCTCTCCAAGGAATATTTTCTCCGGTAACGCCGGTGCATTGCAATTACGAGCCTGCTGCAGTTCAGCGAAGAGGGAGAGGCAAGGCGCTCATGCCCAAAATTGAATCCATTCTCACGAGAGGCTGGGGAGAGACTGCGAGGCGCTGAAGGCTGCGCGAAGGCTGCGCGCACTGCTCGAGGTGTGGGAAGGCCACCTCCAACCCTTCTGCCCAAACAGGGCCTTTTTTCCTTTTCTACGAAAAGCCACAACATTTTAGTCCCATAAAGCTTTACTGGCCATGCCAAAACTGCATAGGCACTATTTATCTCACTGGCAGGGAAATGAGTAAGCATGACAAATGTATAAAAAAAAACCAAAAGCCAGGCTAATTCAGGCCTCAAAGCAACACAAAACAGGACATGAAAGAGCATGACCAACAGAGAAGATAATTTTTTCAAGCTTAAAATGTGAAAAAGAGTAATTTGAAATCAAGCACCACAATCTCTAGAAAAATACTTCACCCAAAATACTTTTTGTCCTATTGCCAATGGCTTGATGATATATTATTAATGAGAAAGGTGTAAAGTACTTCACCCAAAATACTTTTTGCCCTATTGCCAATGGCTTGATGATATTTTATATTATTAATGAGAAAGGTGTAAATTGATGTTTCATTGTTGCATTTCGCTGGGGCTGACTAGGAAGGGCGGGCTCGGTCAGACCATGGGACGTGTAGAGAGGGCACTGCTCCTCAGGCTGCGGAGAGTCCCCAAATGAATCTTTAGGCTTTCCTTCCTTGGACAAGAACAGCCTCCCTTCCCACCTGTAAACCACAGGCCACACTGTGCACTGGCGTACAAGGCTGCTGAAATCCTGCTTCAGCAAGAACTGGGCACACTCATTGTCTGCTACAATTCTATTCTGTGTGTTATTTTCTGAATGTATAGAATAAGCTGTACCAACGGAATATTGATGCATCTATCTTGCGTTTCGTATTCAGGATGCAATTTCCGTGACATTTTCATTTGTAAAGAACCCCTTTTGACAGAATATCCTCCTGAACAATGCTATGGCAGAAGGTCAGACAAGAAATCAATAGTATTTTGAATGCACTGCATGTACTGCAGGGTAACGCCAATGAAAAGAGCGGGACAGACGGAGAGGATGAGGAGGTGTGGATGTGCAGACAGAACAATGGAGACAGCATGGTATAAGGCTTGTTTACACGTCATATAAAGAGGATCTGTACAGGGTTTTCCAAAAAAAGCCCCATTTCTCGAATGGGATGGAAATTAAAATCATCACATTCAGCAAACAGAATGAAAGACGCAGGACGCGAGCGGGTTATAAATCCCCAGCACTCCACACCACCGGCAGACCGGCCGTCTCCATAGCAATTGCGCTGTGCTGATAAGGGAAACATTCCCTGTGCTGCAGCCTCTGGAGAAAGACCCGGAGCGCAATCATTAGGTAACGATCTCATCTGAAAGGCAAGTAAACAGCACAGGGAGCTGCAAGGAGGAAGCAATTTTTTTGCACCCATAAAGGTCAGGTATTATCTTCTCAGTAGTGATTTCACCCAGGATGTTCAAAGCCAGACCCGGCTGTGCAAACCAAATTGTGACTAATAATTAAATCACCGATTCGTTCTCGCCTCAGATGCTTCATGTTTGAAGGAATTATGCTACTGAGCTGTGAGACACATCAGTACGTAGGGCTTGGGTGACAAGCAGTTTAGAAAATGAAAAACGACTCCAAAGAAACAGCATTTTATGGCTGGGGGTTTGCTGGGATTTCGGGGTGTAAGGGGGGGATGCAGGTTTGGTTTCTTTGGGTCAGAGGGTTGTTTGTTGGTTTGGAGTTTGATTTTTTTGTTTGTTTGTTTGTTTTAAATACATGGAATTAAAAAAAAAAAGTTAGGATGGTTTGCTGAAGTGATTTGCCAATGTTCCAGATTAAATAAAAGTGCTTTAATTTGTATGTATGCATAATAATATTCTTCCTCCTCGACCATCCTACACTTGACCTTATAACCTACCCTGAACAGCAATTCTCTATGTTTCTAAACAGAAAACAGGCTGGTCTCAACATAAATTTCACTTAGAAACCCCAGAAGGAGCCAAGTGGTGATTCTTCTAATCAGGTAACACTGCTAGTCATCGTACGAAAGGATTACTTTTTCTAATGTTAAACTCAGTTATAAAAACCCACCAATGTCTAGTTACTTTAAAGCTTAATGGAATTGGTTCTTATGCCTGAGAAGCAGAGTTCTTTAAAAACAAACCTAAACATGATGACATTTACCTTTTCTATATTAATATTGCTGTTACTAAAAATTATCGATGCCTTCCAGTATTCCCCACACCTGATGCCACGCTAGCTTTGGCATTTCAAATGGTACCTTCTGTAACTGGCTGCACCTGGCTTCCCTGGTTTTTGCTTTTTCACCTTTTAATTATTATGAAGTGTGAGCTACAACTTTGAACGGTGGACTTAGACTGAGTGTGACACTTGTAAGTTAAGGCAAGATTTAAACACACATAACTTAAAAATGCAAAGACACATACCCATTCCCATCTCCTGGTACGTACCGTTTCTCCACCTGTTCAGTTCCAGCTCTAAATGCTGGATAACATTCTTTAAACTCTTGTTTTTGTCCTTCTCCTTCTCGTACTTTTTCTTCCACTCCTCGGCGGTCAGCTCCAGATTCACAGAGACCGTGTTCTTAATCGTCTTCGCTCTGCGCAACAAAACCAGGCGCCAGTCACGCTGCCACTTTTATCTCAACACAAATGCAAGGATTCAGAAACTTTTCTATAACACAAAGGGAAACTAATAACGATTTCAATTTATTTTCTAAAGTGCAAAACCACAATTCCATTTTCTCTCAAACCCTCGGTACCATTACTACCTGCAAGCCTCAGAAGAAGTTTTTCCTTATCAAAATCCAGCAGGCAAGCACCTGGAGGATCTTCAGATTCCTCCAAAAAAAGAGAAGCTCTGGAAACTGTTCTTGGATTAAGGACAAAACCAAGTGCTGTCATTATTGCTGTGCTAAGCAGGCTGTCACCTCGCAGCTTCTACAGAAGGGATCGTCCCCCTGTGCTGGGCACTGCTGAGGCTGCACCTCGATTCCTGCGGTCAGGTTTCAGCCCTGCACTGTTGAGACAGACTGAGGGGCTGGAGCGTGTCCGGAGAAGGGAATGGAGCTGGGGAAGGGTCTGGAGCACAATTCCTGTGGGGAGTGGCTGAGGGAGCTGGGGGTTCAGCCTGGAGAAGAGGAGGCTCAGGGCAGACCTTATCGCTCCCTACAGCTCCCTGAGAGGAGGGGGCAGAGAGGGGG